GTAGTACGACAAAACATAGGAGTGATAAGCTAATACAAACAACTAGAAAACACGTAAACAAATGAAGCTCAATGTCGAAGAGTGCCCAGTCCGGTATTGTCAGTTCAGTGAAGCACCTGTCACACAGGAAATTCTGGGCCTCTGACCTCCAAATGCGTTATTTTTATTATATATATATATGTACTTAATTAATCAGAATGATATAGGTTAAGTTTTTATGATTGTTCTTGTATTTCATATTGTATTGAAATTATGTGCCCTTTGTGTTTTGTCCTTATGTGTTGACTCTCCAATATCAGCTTTGCTGCCTTAAGAGTCAGTGTAATGTCTTGTTGCATTTTTCAATAAATAAATAAATAAATAAAAAAAGTTACATGCCCGTGAGCAAGGTCTCGCTACTTCCTCACAGGCGACACGTTAAAAACAGCCACTCAAACACCTGTCCTGAGTCACTTGGATTACTGCTCTTGCCTCCTATCTTCTAGTTCTCTATCTAACCTGAACTGTTTGCAGATATATCAAAATAAGGCAGTCGGCTTGTATTGAATGCGGAGTACAACTGTAGGATCGACGAACTGCACAATCTGGATACTGCACAGTAGATTGCTGACTGGCCCAGAGTTAACGAAAGACTTGCCGCAAGTACACTCTCCATGTTTCACAAACTTCTGACAACTGAACAACCTGTAGCTATCTACAGAAGGTTACTTAGAATCAACAACACACCTCAGCATAACACCCGTATTTCCCAAGCGGGAGGCTTTAGACTACAAAAACCCAGAGCTTCCTCTGCTACTACTACTAGGACATTCTTGTACAGGTGCACAAAATCCTACAACACTTTCCCGCAACACATCAAATCATCCGCACCATCAGCTTTCAAAAAACACGCCAAGGACAGGCTAAAAAGTACACCAACAGACCCCTGCAGCATTTGTAATAGCATAGTGTGACCAAATGTACTTTCATGTAAAAATATAACTTGTATATATGATCACCTTGAGCTCTGACCTCTCAGACAATTTTTATCATTATTCTTTTACATTGTTGTATAGGTTGGTTAAGGATAGGTTAAGGAACAGTTATAGGTTGTGACTTGTGAGTATTCTGAGTGTTATGATAAGTGTACGTATGTTCAATGTGTTAACAGGTTTGTAATGATATGTATTTGTAACTTTTATGACTCGAGGAAGAATAGTTGGGTAGTATATGTATATAACGTTACTCACTAAATGAGATCTATCAAATAAACAAATAAACTTAGTTACCAGGATACACAACTATAACAATGACGTAAGCATTTTGCAGGAATTACTGACAGTGCGGGTAAGTGTATATTCACTGCGTGACGAATATCTACCGAGCTTACAAAATACTAAGACATCATCACGCCCTTGCACTTTATTCTTTAATACAGCGTCACGTGTCTGTATACTGTCGCTAAGCGATCAGCCGCTTGGGACACTGATCCTTGATGGACCGGTTTTCATTCTTGTCCTGTCTTGTCCCACATACCCCAGTACTGTCTACAGCACAGTAGTCTGTGGAAGGCTAACGCTTCGCTGACAACACCAAGAACAACATTTTCACCATGCCGTGGCAGCGTATCGTACGGAGGTACCTGTGGTTGATTGTTGTGGTTGCCATACTTGGGGCCTGCGTCATCTTTCTGCTGCTACCAAACGACAGGAATCCACAGGGACCAAAAGTGACAGAGAAGGTATGAATCGGTTACGAATCTATATAAATATTACATTCGTTTACACAACTTTGCAGACTACAAAGCCTCTTCGCTCAGTATAATATGAATACAAAGTAATAATCCGATGGAGAGACTTCTGTGATACCGCATTGATCAGTGTACGTTTTGGATAGGTTCAGGTCAGGTATTCATTCACACGCCATGTTTTGAAGGTTGACGCCCGGGGGCCATTTTCCCTGCTACTATTCTTGGGTCCGGTCTTGTTGAGCCCCATGTCGATCTGATCCAAAACGTTGCTATGCTACATGTAACGTTACCAACAGGGGTGTCACAGGCAGGGTCAGAGGGATAGAGCGATTCGGTGCTTTCTTGAATCTCGGAAAGTTTACGGACTAAGACTCAAGTGCGCCGTGTTATAGTTAAATTACAGTAACAGTTAACCCACCATTGGGTACTATTTACGTTGATATGTTGTCTTACAGCTGATCCCTTACTTCTAACATGTAGTACATGTGTCTGTTGTGTGTAAGTTATGTTATCCGTCGTCCCTGGCTGGCGGGGTAAGCTGCTGCACAACTGTACTCCACAGACTTGATTTTTTAGTGCATTTATTTAGTACTTATAATCATTTGAGGTAGAAAAACGTGTTAAGCCGAAAAAATGGTGTCAAACGTTTTTTTTTACCAAAGTGAGATTCAATGTATTACCTTTTGGTAAAAAAAAATGGGCTGAAGGGGGTGCTAGTCCATTCTTTTACTAGAAGGAAAATATAGATGATGTACTTGATGATTTCATAATCCGGTAAAAAGAATGCGTCATTGTTTGTTTTCAATCTTTAGCCCATTTCAACGCAATTAGCACGCTTTCTCAGGACAATTTCTTTTTGGTAGTAAATAAATGGGATAAATATCCAAAGCTTACTCCACGGCTGATATGAGCTATGACACCCCCAAAACGTAGTACATAAGGATTGGTGCTACATGTAATTAATTCATGATGGCCGGAAAGAAAGCTATGAAATTCTGTGACCCAAACACGTACCCGTATGTCACGAACATGCCGTCTGACAGTCAGTGACAACAATGTCAGGAAGCGGGTTGCCAAGAACGCGTTTCTACGGGCGAGAAATTCGTTACTTCCATTCTTTTGTCTTCTGCCAGCCCCTGGATTTAACATGTCACGGGTAATGATTCTGTAACAAGAGTGACACAGATATTTGTGTATTCTATCAAGCCAGTATAAAAATGCCTAAAACGGGTAAAAAGCTCTCTCTCTCTGTCTGTCTCTCTTTGTAAGCCTTACGGTCTCTCTCTGTCTCTTTCTCTCTGTCTCTTTCTCTCTGTCTCTTTCTCTCTGTCTCTTTCTCTCTCTCTTTCTTTCTCTCTCTCTCATGTATGTATATA